GAGGGAAGTAGCTCACCAGGGAGAGGCTGGATCTGGGAAGTCACTTTCCATTAATGAAGGAAAGGCTGAGTCGATCCTGAAGGGACTGACAGGAAAAACAGGGGGGGAGGGAACACCAATTAGGGAAGTCACTCTGGAGCTGAAATCAGATACTCCTGAGCTGAGGAAGACACTTCTAGGATGTGTAAGGATGTGGCCCAGCTCATATTTACTACATCAAGTGTTTGTCAGTTGCTGTCTCTGAAGAAATTAATGGAGATGGTTTACAATAAATGTTTTTAAATAAGTGTTTTTAACCATTCTGTACTTCCTTTTTAGCCCTCTCTCCTATATCACTTATGTGAAGTTTTCATGTGAGATAGCAAAAAAAAAAATCTGCCACAATCCCATTATGTTGTGTTCCTCTGAGGTCTGTCACTATGAAACCTGAATTACTAGCTTAATCTCCTACTTCCTCAAAATTTCATCTTTTTTCTTTTTTTTCTTAACCCTAGTTTAAAACCCTCTCAAACAACAGAATTAACACTTAATATGCCATCAGCTGGGGAATGTAAATACAAATGCATGTCTGAATTTTAGAATTTTCAAAGGGGAAGGAGGAAAAAAAACGATTCTGAAATCCTGGCACCAACTTCTAGGACTTCAAATATCTGAGAGAGGTATTTTGACAGCAACTACTTTGTGCATGTAAGCAAAGAATGAGACAAGCTTAAAACCAATCTTATAATTTACAGCTTTTCATGATCTTGAATATCACAACACAAGGATTATTAATTTACAGAAAACCCAAAGAGCCAACTGTGCATTGATTAGAAGAGAGATTTTGGGAGAGAAACAATATTTTCATTGCAATGTTTTCTGAATTCAAAAAGCTTCAAAAGAATCAGTGTAGGAAAAAGAAACAAAATCACCCACCACACAAGAAAAAAAGGCAATCCTTAAAAATAGCTCTGAAAGGAATTTTGCTCAGCAAATCAAAGTGCATTAGGGAAAGAACAACTTAGCTTTTCAGAGCATCAAAAAACACAGACAAAACAAACACTGTTAGAACTTAAAAAGACCTCAAGACACTGAGTAGATGAGACATTTTTCCATATTTTAAACAGGCATATTTAATTGTTTCAGAAAGTAGATTGTTTTACATGAAAGAGATTGAGTTTTGAGCTGCTAGTTTGACATATGGTTTAAGTTGACTCCGTGTCAACACAATTTGTTCCAGGTACTTAAGGTTCCCATGCCTGGTGATTGCTGGTGGCAAGGGTGCCACTGTCCCCAAAGCAGGGCAGGCTCTAAAGGTGTGCACAGCTCTCACCAAGCTCAGGTAGTTTCTCTTATTCTTTTTTTTTTTTAACTGGAACTCTGTACATCTGAGGAGAGGGGAAAAAAACCCATCCCTAAGAGGTCTTTATGCTCTTCCTCTTCCCATCTTTCACTCAGACTCTGTCATGAAGTGAGCTGGAACCTTTCCTTGCTGAAAACTTGCAGTGCAAAATTAGTCAGTGCAAACCCTGTTCCCATCCTGGTCCAGGCCCTGCAGTGTGGAAGGTCTGGGAAGTCACAGTGAAAAAAGAACAACAGTCCCAAATGAAGCGAAGGACTTTGTACCTAGGCAGAGAAAGAGGCTTGGCAAATTCCAGGGAAATACCTGACCAAAACCTTTGCATTCCTGGTCAAAGCTAAGGGTTATTTGCACACCTGAAACGTGCAGGTACACATGAACTAAGAGGGAACAGCCTGACAGCACTGTACATGTCCTGCACATGAGGCACAATCCAGATAACACAAAGATTTGCTTTAGAAGAGCTGCTCCTGATCATACCAGGTTAAGAGGAAGTGGATGGAGCGAGGAGATCCATAGATTCAGGAAGGAAGTTTTCAAAACATACCTGCAAACCTGGTTAAACTGCAGTGCAAAAATGTCTTGTGGACCTGTTCAGACTGGGAAGGAGGAGCCATTATCATGAACAGCACCCTTTCTCAGGTGTGTCAGCTGCCAGAATCCAATTCTGGGATTTCTATGGATGCTGCAAAAGCTAATATTTCAATACTCCTGGAAGCAAGGAACTCCTGAAAGGATTAAAAAGCCATTAACCTCTCTGATTTCAGTCCAACTGCCTGCAGAGCAGGAGGAGGGAGGACAGAAACATCAAGTCCCTGAAGTTTTAGAGATGATACCACACCATCTAAACGAGGGATTAGCAGTGAAAAGCCACCCTTTTTTCCTGGAGAACACATTTTCCTTCTAAGCTGCTGGACACTTCGGGGGCTGGCATGCTTACTTCTGGCGTCCTGTAAGGGCATTTTGGTCTTAGATCCTTTTGTTGGTCAGAATGTGACACATTAAGTATGACATTTAATTAATCAGCTGTTCCCCGAGCGGGGGGAGTGACACCCCTTGCCTCTGGAATGGTGTTGCAACAAGTACTTTAACTCTGGACAGAAAAACTCTTGCAATTATTTTGTTTGTCACCACAGGTGGATTCCTGCCATGGAATTTCATGTGGGGCATGGCAGCTTTCATGACTAAGAGCCTCCATCTGAAAACCTTGCTCCTTTTCCAAGGAAGACATGTAAATGAATTTTGACAGTGTGAGGCTTCAAATCTAAATGCTGCTGGATGCCCTTTTGTTTGTCCTTGGCACTCTGTATAGAGAAACACAGAAACAGAGGGTCAACACGTTCAGTTTCTTTGTGCTGTGCTGCAGATGAGTTACAGCTTTAATGTTAGTGGGTGATTAAGTAGAAAAAAAGGGTGTTTTGCTTCAGGTGGACATGCAGTTGTGAAACTGTGATCAATGCCACACCACCAGTACACTGTGAAAGACTGATGACAGTTTTGTCCAGTGCTACAGCATTTTTTTCTGATTTGTTTAACCAGAATAAGGCACAGGAAATGGCATTCCACATTGGAACAATAATAGCTGAAATTTACAAAATAAAACAGTTGTTCTTGTGTATTGAAAGAGTTTAAAGCCAAAACACAAATGCATTCAAACTGTGCTGTATTATTACCTCTAACTTCACGTAGAAAAGAATCTATTAAGGGTCAAAATAAAGGACCCCCCCACTGTGATTTTTTTTTTTTTTTCCTCTTCTGAAGAGAAAAATACTGAGGCCTTCATAAAGTGAAAAATTATTTTAGAATATTCATGACCTTTGGAAAAAGTCAGAGACATGGAAAATGATGACAACGTTTCAATCTAATATAAATTAAGAAAGACTGGCATCCAATCAAGGAAGTTTTCCTTTCCTTTCCTAATTTCCTTTCCAAAGATATTAAGTATCTTCAATTATGCATGTGGAAGCTTTAGAGCCAGATCTTAATTAAAGGAATAGTTAAATTTTGCTCTTAGTTGTAAAACTGTAGCAATTGCCCCAGGCAACTTACTTCCTCTCAGTTCAATTTATTTGTTTTTGAGATGGTAAAATTCCTTCTTATACAGACTTCGATGCTTCCTTTTTATTACTAAATTAGTAGTCAGTGTCCAGGTTATCAAAGTGTGAAATCTGTGGGTCTGGTGCGTTTTCATTCCCAAAATTATTCTTTCAACCATGTTGTTGGAGCTTGTCATCCTTTTTTCTTGTCAAATTAAGGGCCTCATCAAATTTACCTGAGCATTTGCTCATATATTGACTATCATGCAGTACTATATAAATTTTTCTGT